TCTTCCTTCTTGCTGTGGAGTGAGCTGCATGGGGTGAGCCTGCTTTAGTCCACAGCCAGTGGTCTCTGCAGCTGCTGAGCTGAGATCATCAGGGCTGCAAGAAACCTTTATTTCTATCAAGAATTTTCTAGAATTTAGCAATAAAAATGTGGCTTAGCAAGCGTTTCAGTGGGGTATTTTCACTTTTCTTTTTTTCTTCCCATTTAAAAAAAAAAAAGTAATAGAAATGAGCATCACTGTGAGCTCCCTGAGGGGACAATCATGTGAGTGCAAGTATTGCTATAGCCCCTATTTTTGCAACTGCCATCTTGGCTAGTGCATCAGTGACTCAGCTGGGAAATCCCAGCTACTGCATAAACCAAATAACCAAACTTTCCAGTGGGGGCCGTAATAGACTGAGATGCTAGATGGAATGGGCACAGAGGGAAGCTAAAAGCAGATATCATCAGTAAACTGCATATTTTCTGTGGTCAAACAAGCCCTAGCTCAGCAGAGCTTTTTCACCTCTAGACATTATTGTGGCATAAATCATTGAATCGTGAATCCCACAGTATTTCAGGAGAAAGCCTGCTTTATGATACATGCAGTTCAGTGCATTAATTTCTTTACTGGAATAAGCCCTTGCATTATGTCCAAATTGTTTGTCATATCTGTTCTTTTTGCTGTCAGAAACCACCTTGTGTTATTATCTCTTGTGCAAAGAAAAATAGTTAAAAGATGAAAAAATGCTATATTTTTTCCTTTTTATATTAAAAAAAGAAAAAAATTTTTTTTTTTTTCTTTTTTTTTTTTTTTTTTTGTGCCCAGTCTGCCCCTGGAGTAAGACGATGTGGTATGACATCAGATGTCTGGGGTTTGGAAGGTCAGCTCGGAAATTGGAAAATGGTAGCTCACAGGTCTACCAAGCCCTCCAAGGGCTTCCTATGTGGGAAACCATTTTTATAGTGTAATAACTGGAGACCATTTGTTAGAAAATGGGTTGATAACCTGTTCTTGGAGGGGTGCTGCTGGGGTAACCCAGGAAAATGCGATGAGCCAGTTTTATCTGCCTTAATTTCAGTTTTGTTGTTTGAGCCATTTCTGAAATTAGCATCTTGGTCTTTAAAATTTTTCCTTCTTTTAATAGCTGTGCCTGCTGCCTAAGCCTTCTTTTCCTCAATAAGAAATATAATCTTAAAAAAGCTGTCTGGAGAACCTAAATACAAATCACCTCTTTATTTTATAGGTTTTGACTTAGTATTTTACACTAGGGTTTTTTGTGTTTAGATTTGTTTTTGAAGGTAGAATTCCTGTTAAAATGTTGCAGGACGGTATTAGGCAGATCGGCTGTTCCTGCCCATGGTCATTTAACCGTCTACACTCTTTTTCTCATTTGTCTGGTACCGCTGCTGCCTCCCAGACCCACTGTCCAACTGCAATCCATTGCAGTATTATTATTCTTGATTTGCTCTGCAGTGATTCCTAGAGGCTTCAGTCAGGAATCTGCATCTGTGATGCTATGTTCAGCATCAACAAGTATTGAGATGACCTCTGTATACATATTCACAATCCAAAAAATCAGAATGCAAATTATAAAAGACCATAGAAACAGCTGGTTCAGCCCAAGGTCCATGTAGCCCAGCATTCTGGCTCCAGCTGTGGCCATAAATAAGATGTCTAGCAACGGAAAGGAAAAGAACAAGGTGTTTGATATTCCCCCACTTCTTTTCCCAGATCTCCCAGCCACCAGCAACTCATTTTCAGCTCAAGGGATTTCCTACACCCTCTTTTGCAGCCTCCGATGGGTCTGTCCGCCAAGTGCTTTTCCAGTCTCCCCTTGAAGCTTGTCAGCAAGCTTCTTGCACCCACAGTGCTCTCCAGCAAGGAGATCTGCCACAGCCTGTGTCAACTGCTGCCACTGTTGCGTGGTCTTGAACCAAGCTCCCGTTAGCTTTCGTTGGTGTCTCCCTGTCCTTGTGTC